TACTCTCTCTCTCTCTCTCTCTCTCTCTCTCTCTCTCTCTCTCTCTCTTATGAAAATTAGGGGGCACGCCCCACCTAGACGGAAACTTCTCTCTCTCACCTTCAAAGAATGCCTAAGGGGGGCTCGACCCACTCTCTCCAACTCTTGGATCTCTCTATCCCATCTTGTGGTATTATGATTAAGGGTTTGGGGTGTAGTTAAGGAGTTGCTATATCTTAAACTAGGTTATCAAAAGGGATTCACCTAGAGTTTGAGTTTTGTAATAAAATGATTTCATGTTCCATTGGTGTGGCTTGTTCAAAATTTGCTTTCCCGATTGAAATTGAAGGTTGACCACTAGATCCCACGACATCGGAAGGTGGTGACTCGGTGTAAGGTGTAAGAAGCTTGGTTAAGGTAATCTTCAACACCTTATTTTGTTTCTTGCTTATTGTTTATTACTTTCTTTATTCCCAAGCATAGATTGTGTTTTTTCTTTTGTTATTAAAAGAAAGGTTTTGAATGGCTTCAAGTCCTTGAAATCCTAGTTGTATTATTTTCTTTGAAGTTGTTTTATTGTAAAAGGACTGCTTATAAGTGATCCAAGCCGAGAAGAAAACAATAATAATTGAAAAAGAAGAAGAAAAAAATAATAATACATACTCCGGCTAGATCATCGAGTCCTTCTTTCATATGCAACCGGAGCGTTATGTGATCGATGCATGCCAATAAAACCAGGGTTGAGACCAACTTTGCTTTTATAGGGCGAAATGTTGGGCGGTCAAGAAACAACATGCCTATAGGATGAGTGCAGCTAAGATGAGGGTGTTGAAATGGATGAGTGGCAAGATAATAAGAGATAGAATTCGAAATGAATACATTCGGGAGAACTTAAGGGTGGTTCTAATCAGCAATAAGATGAGAGAAATGAGACTTAGATGGGCTGGCCATGTGCAACACATACCCAGTACACTTATTATAAGTTTCAAGTTAGTTCGAGTGAAAGGCTTTAAAAAAGCAATAGGTAGACCCAATCTCTAGGGCATCCAAACAACATTCACAAGCCGTTTCTATAGATGGGAGACCCAATTCCAGGAAACCAAATGGGGCCTAAGGTTTGAGAAAAAGAAGTCACGAATAGAAACACGAGAAGGTAATAGTACAGTGAAAAGGAATTGGAAGGAAATATATACAATAAGACTGTATTTTTGGATTTCATCATCATTGTTAACTGTTATCATGAAATGGGGCGGTTGGCAACGTGTCATTGATTTGGACAAAGGATTAAAAATAAAATTTATCAAATATTGTGACACAATTCAATTTTCTTGAGTTCAAATCCAATAGCTAAAAGTAATTTTAACCTCCTTATACTGAAAGCGAATTGTCTCATAATATATTATTTTGAAAGAATTTTACTCAACATTCTTTACAACGAAACAACTGTGTCCACGATAAAGAAAGCATCGATTTTTAATAAAATATTGCTAATTTTTTGAGGCCATCAAGGTTCATCGAAGCCATAAAAGATTTATGAAAGTTATAAACTAAATGAAATTTGTAACTTTTTAAAATATTTAAAATTTTAAATCTTATGAAAACTTAAATTTTTAGGACTTTACAAAGTTCTAAACATTGTAAGTATCATACAAATACATTTGAAGATGAAAAATAAAATATAGCAACGGATTACTTATTAAAAGGACATCGAAATTTACTAATGCGATATTTTGCGGTAAGTAAAGGTAATTCACATTTTTTCTTCAAAGGTAGATGGATTTATGTTAATTTGTATTAATTTTTTTTTTTTTGAAAATCATTGAAACTCTAAAAACTAGTACAACCACTATGACGAGACTCAACCGATTTGGCCAAGTAACTCAGCCTCTCCAGGGCGGCTTTATATGAGTGTTTCTTCTGGTAAAGCTCTAAAGAGCTAGTTAAGCCTAGATAAGCATATGGCGTATAATGTGCTTCCTTTCATAACATTTTGAACACTTTAATAAATTGATACATGAATTTATTTTATCTCATTTATACGGTTAAGATCCATGTTTAATCCTCTTAATCAATGGGTAATTAAATTTATGCATATAACCACAGGTCCAAGAAAGAACAATTCACCTTTGGAATCTATTTATTAATGATTGCCCATATTTTTTATTGTTTTGCCATTTTTAGAGAATCTATGAGTTTGTCTTTTCGTTGAAATTACTTATATAGTTAGGAAGAGAATAACTAACCTCCAAGAGAGAGTTACCGATTTTAAGTTGTTACTTTTTTTTAAAGACAAGTATAAGAAAATCCAATATTCATGGCTGTCAGGCTGAAAATATAAGTGATCTTGAGGGACTAATAAGAACAACTCTCTCTCTCTCTCTTTTTTAAAGTAACTCTCGTAGTAATCGTTCATTTTTCGTAGGTTATCTAAAGGTGCGGACTTTAGTTAAAATATAGAGTGAAAGGGTGGTAGTCCATGCATGCCTAAGTTGTAAGTTTCCCACTTATGACTTTAAAAACTAGGAGGCTATCATCCCCATTGAATTACTTACTCAAAAACAAAAAAAAATTCTATCGGAAGTAAAGTATTTCTTAACTGCCTTAAAAGACAATGTCTCGCTGCCCGAAATCAAAATTGGTAGTAATTGCCTTTAAAAAAACAATATCACGCTGCCCAAAATGGTTCTCCCATTTGTAGAACCCCTTTGAGGCGCGCACGCATATGGAAGGATCAAGATCTCTCACCCACCTTACCTTTTCGTTTGAGGGAAGTACAGTATAAAAAACAATTTATATTTGGAAATTCATACGATAATTGCGTAAGATAGATATATTTTTCTTTCTTTTAGTTAACCATCTGGCGCGAATTGCGTCTCCCTCGGTGTGGGGTTATCGGATCTGATCTACTTTAGTGTCGAAGATGTAAATTGTGCTTTGGCAAAATCCAATCGCAGAGGCCGTCCCTCCACCTCCTGTCATTAAGAAACTACATTACATTTGCGAGCTTGCGGGCACAAAAGATTGATGATGGAGAAGGTGTGTTGTTGTTGTCACTACGACTTACTGTTGCATTGAAGGTGGCAACGGCAGAGCAGGCCTGTTCTGCAGTTGCGAAGCTAACAAAGCCAAAACCCCGGGACTTGTTGATGTTGCCCTGTTCATAGACAACCATGGCACCCAAGACGCCCTCCACCCCTCCCTTCATGAATGCCTCCTCCAACTTCTCCGAAGTCACACTCCATGCCAAGTTCCCAACATACACCTTGTGGGGGCTGTCCACATACTTATTCACTCTCGTTCTTGTCCCCATCATCCTTGTCTCTCCTCCTCTCGGCACCTCCGGAAAATTCACTTTAAGTGTTCGCCCACCTAATTGCTGCATGCAAGCACACTTTCACTCAATCCGCTAAGCTTATTACTACTACTACTACTACTTCGCTTATTACTACTACTGCTTCTCTTCTCTCCCAATATCAGTGATTCAGAGTTTTGGACAGAGATTAAAATCGTTCTTACTGATCCATGTAGCATCCTTATGGCGTTACTTGCATCTTCAGCAGTGGCCATCGTCACAAACCCGAAACCCCTGCTCCGGTCTGTCATGCGGTCATATACCACCTGCAAACTTAAAAGTAGTGAGAGAAAAAGCAGATAGATCGCAACACCCTATCGATGTCATGGCGAATTGGGGGAGTTTGAAAAGGAAGATGATGAAAGATTTCTGATTGCCAACCTCTACACGCTCAACAGTACCACATTCTTGTAAAAGTTGAGAGAGTTGGGGGGTGGTGACAGAGTATGGGAGGTTGCCAATGTATAGCCTCCTCCCATCCTCTGCCTGCCGTCGCATTTGCTGGAGGTGCTCATCTTCTTCTTCTTCCTCCACTACATTACCAATGTCGTCTTCATTCAATGACAGAGAAAGAGAAAGGGAAGAGGGAGCGGCAGTGAAGTTCAGGAAGGGGAATTTGCTTGCCCAAAGGGAGTTGTGTCGCAAGGACAAATTTGGGAGAAGAAGAACGGTAGGCCTTTTGGAGGAGAGGTATTTGAGGTGAGTAGCAACCATAGAAGAGAGAGCAGTAGCTGCCGCCATGGGAGTGAGATCAGTCCATGGAAGGAGGGAGGAAGGAATACAATAGAAAACACTATGGACCACATATAAACGTTATCTCTTCACCATGGCCTCCCACCCCATTTTTACAATCTCTCTCCTCGTCTCTCTTTCAATTTCCGTCCCCACTCTCCCTTGTCCGCATTGTATCGTTAGAAGCGGTGGTTTTAAGAACGGATCGGTGCTTTGCTTCGAATCGGGTATTCCCAAAATCCATTCGGATTGGTAAATCGACATTTCAAATTTGAAATCGATCAATCGAATTCGGTCTTAAAAAAATTATTAAAAATGCTATTTTTTAGAAATCTAATAAAAATGAAGGTACGACATTAATAACTTTTATTTTTTTGCATCAATATGCTAATATTGAGATATTTTTTCCCTATATGAAGATTCTCATCAAATATTTATTAAAACCTAATTAAATACAATATTATACTTTGAAATTAAGTTATTAGTTTGTGTTTTATTATTTTATCAACATTTTACTAGACAAATAAGAATAAATTTGAAATTTATCTTATAATATAATCTAATTTACAACTATAGCAAAAAATAATACATTGCATAATTTATAATATAAATAAATTAATAAATAAAATATAAGATTTGATTATCAATGTAATTAGTATAATTATTAATTATCGTACTAAACATGATTCAAAAAAAAAGGTATGACCCTAATAAAAAATAAAACTAAAAGTTCATTAAGTACTTAGAAACTTAAAATCCTTTTTTTTTTTTTTTATAAATATTGATACATTATAAAGTGAAACATAATATTTTAGATCCTTTTTTATTGTTCAAAAAGAAAATATTTTAGATCCAAAAGTACTCCATAAGTAAGCTTTTTTACCTAAGGAATTAAATGTACATTGTGATCTTGCAGGTACGTGTGCTCTTTTTCACCACTTGTGTCATGCGTGTCATGTACTTTAATATTTATGTCAATATATTTGTTTTCCTATTTAATATGTCAATATATTTGGCTCTTCGAAATAGCAGGACTTGGGATTTGGTAGAGTTGTCAAAGGGTACGAAAGCGATTGGCTGCAAGTAGGTGTTCAAAATCAATAAAGAGATTGATGGAAATAAGGAAAGGCATGAGACAAGGCTAATGTATCAACTTTCTTGAAATTTTTGCATTGGTTGTCAAGTTAGACTTCATTAGGTTGGTGCTTGGGCTTGTTGCATTGCGTAATTTGGAACTTGAACAAATGGATGTAAAAACAACTTTTTTACATGGTAAACTTGAACAGGAAGTGTATATGCAACAATCGGAAGGATTTCTTGAAAAAGGAAAAAAAATGTTAATATGCAAGTTGAAAAAATTCATATATGGAGCAAGTATCAAAACAATGGTGTAATACTTTTAACATGTTCATTGGTCTTAGATACCAAAGTAGTGAATACGACCATTGTGTTTATATGAAGTTTTTTTATGATGGTTCTTATTTAATCTTAATATTGTATGCTGATGATATGCTTTTGGCATGCAAGGATAAGGTTAGGATAGATAAGCTTCAGGGATCTTTGAGCAAGAGTTTTGAAATGAAAAATCTCGGGATGGCAAAACAAATACTTGGAATCGAAATCCAAAGACATTGACGGAGCGTGATTTTGTGACTTTCACAAAAGGGCTTTGTAGAAAAGATGCTTGATAAGTTTGGCATGAGCAAGGTAAAGCCAGTGGAGACTCGATTAGCTCCTCATTTCAAGTTGTCTTCCAAGCAAAGTCCAAAGATTGTGGATGCAAAAGAGAATATGGCTAAGGTGCCACATGCAAGTGTTGTAGGAAGCCCAATGTTTGTCATGGTGTGTATTAGATTGAACATAGCATATTTGGTTGGTATTTTGAGTCGATTTATGGTAAATCCTAGAAAAACTCATTAAGAAGGTACAAAATGGGTGCTTCGTTATTTGAGAGGCACGAGTGATTATGCCATGACATTTAATAAAGGTTCGAGGCATATTCAAAGCTATGTTGATACAAATTATGTCGATGATCTTGATAGAGGAAGATCAACTACCGGCTATGTTTGAAAATGGACCAGTAAGTTGGATGTCTAAGCTTCAATCATCGGTGATATTATCCACCACTGAGGCGAAATACATGACAGCAACCGAAGCAAGCAAAGAAGCAGTTTGGCTTCAAGGCCTTATGGAAGAATTGGGTATCAAGTTTAAACTCATGGAAGTAATTTGTGATAATATGAGTGCCATTAATTAAACCAAGAATATCATTTATCACACGATGACGAAGTACATACTAGTATGATATCATTATGTTCGACAAGTTGTTGAATAAGGGTTTGGTTCGGTTGGTGAAAGTTGGAACTAAGGAAAATGTGGCAGATATACTCTCGAAGAAGGTTCCGATAGAGAAGTTGGAATGACACCTAACTTCTCTAGCTTCATGAAGAAGTAAATAGGGGATTATTAGCAAGGCGAGTAGGAGATTGGCTATCAAGGAAGAGATTGTTAAATGGTGATAAAAAAATCACCTAACATGCTTTTGTATTTTGCCAATTTGTTTGGGGGCTTTTTTGTCACTAAATTAAGTGACTTTTATCAAAGCAAAAAGGGGAATATAGAACATACGATTCACTCTTCTTTGGGTTTACTCTTCTCTCTCTCTAGAAAGATATTGGGGCTCTTTTGGTTGTGTGAGAAAGAGAAAGAGGTGAAGAAATATTTCTTGTTCAATTTTGGGAGAAATTGTATGAGATTATATTGCTCGTGTCCTTAAATCATTCGAAGTGAAACACATGGTAAATTGTGGTTTTGGGTGATTACAAGGAAAATATTTTGGTGAGGGATTTTATCAGATTTATCCATTGAGGTAACGTTGTATCCCTTTGTAAATTCCTTTTTGATAGAAGAAGTACTTGTCGGCTTGCCTGTGGACGTAGCTCCACGAGATGAATCACGTTAAATTCGTGTTGTCATTTATCTCTATCATTTTTTCTCATGTTTATGTTTCTATCTCTAATTTATTTTTCCTAAATTATTGCACACGATCCTTGAGCTTATTATTAGATTATTGGTTTTACATATTCTGAGTGTATGATATTAGGTGATCGATTAAATTGGGGCTTCGGGTATTCGAATCTCCAACAATACGTACCGGGCTAAAAAGTGTACAACAATAAAGAATATAAAACGGTTTCCAAAACTACATCTAAAATAAAATTAAACAAAACACTATGATGTTTAAAAAGTAGGAAAAAGATAAATTGGAAAAATCAATTTGTGATTAAGAATATTATAAAAATAATCTAGAAAAAAAGAAAAAAAAATAATAATGAGTATGCGACGCCAAAATACTTTTAAATTTTTTTCCAGAATGATAGAAAACATTAAAAAAACAAATTACAAATTTTTTTTTTGAATTTTTTTATATTTCCTTTTAAGATCTTAAGTTTGACCACCAAAACCGGGCTTAATTGGACCCGCATAGTGGGCTGGTCCGAGTAACCTGGGTGGGTTTGGGTTGACCCACCAGTTTTTGCAAACAATGATTAGGAGTTTCTATTATATTGGATTTGGTTGAATTAACTAGGTTAAATATGGAGTCCTATTAATATTGGGAAGTACGTAGTTTTGATAAGGATAAATTTATGAAAAAAATTGAACTGAATCATATTTAAATATGATAATTATGGAGTGGTTCAAATCTATGAAAAAATTATGCGGAGGTACACCGGTCTAATATTTATATAGACTTGTGCTTTTTTATTATTTTATTTTTTTTTTTCTAATTTTGCCTCTCAATCTAATGTTAAAAATATCGAAATATTTTTTATTTTATTTTTTTACATGTACAAACCTAACTAATATGGAAAACATCGGATCAGCCAATACCTCAATTTTTTTTAAAGTGCACGTAGACATCAGCCGGAAATTTCTAAGAGGGAAAATTTTAATCATTCCACCCTTCATCTCCGGCTTCAAAATTCGAAAAGCTGTTTTTAATCCACATCAGCCAGTTCCCATCTATTTAAAACCTCGTATCAAACCCTTTATGTCCATGGTGGTCGGGGCCCTAATGTACCCTTACAAATCGTTAAATTTCGGAAAAATTTCGTGAAGTTGAAGAGCTTTAGTAGACTTACCATTGGTCGGGGCCCTAATGTACCCTTAACAATCGTTAAATTTCGGAAAAATTTCGTGAAGTTGAAGAGCTTTAGTAGACTTACCATTTTAAAAAAGAGGATAACAAAAAACTTATATACTTCTCATTATCTAACCGTCCATTCTGAATAGAGGGATAAGATTGTCCCAATGACAATGTCACGTCTCTATACTATTTTATTTATTTTTTATTTTTATAAACTATTTTGATATCAAATTTTGGATGTCCAATCCTCTATTAAACTCACACTAACGAAAAAATATTAAAAAATATTTTCAATAAAATAAAATGACCAAAATACCTTCGAAAGTTTCAAATGGTATTTTGATCATTATATTTTATCGAAAAATTATTTTTAAATATTTTTTTATAGGTGCGTCCCAATGAGAAGATGACACGCATCAAATTTCATATTCATATGATTTGTATATAGAAAACTAAAAATAAAATACTTTAAGATGTCGGATCTAAAATCAAATAGTGAGTGGCTCTCTTGATCAAAATCGAACTGCTGGATGATAAGAGAAACATATATCTTTATGTTGTAGGGGAAATATAGAAACCTTTTCCTTTACAAAAATAGAGAGTGCACATGGATAAAAAAAAGTTATTAAAAAAAATCACGGTCTAGTGAATCACCTAGAATACAATTTGGTATTAGTGGAAGAACTAGTTGGTAGCGGGGCGGTCCGAAGTTAGAGATATCAAAACCCTACTATTTGCTTTCGTTTTAGAAGTTTCATTAAAGAATTATAAGATGTTGGCCAGTCCAACATCGGACAGGTACGTACACTTGAAAAAAAAAATAAAAAATGGTATGATGTTTTGTGAGGGTTAAAAAAAAACAAACACATGGACCTCCATGTAATATTTGCATGAAATTGGCAATTTCCATACTAAATATGGCACGGGCTTAATTTTTCCTATAATTATTTAGCATTAAGTTTTATCTTCATAGGAAAGTTACAAATGGGCGGGTTTGAGGTGAGAATCGCATTCGGCACCAGCTTACAAGGCATTGCCTAGAGAGAGAGAGAGTTTAAAGCAAGGAATAAGGAATAGTTAGTTGAGTTGTTTTATAAACCTCTAAAAATCAGCGCACTCCTGGGGTGTTTTAAATGAGTGTGTTGCTTTAATCTCGGCGTTGAGAAAGGAGAACCAGGGTCTTGGTGTGTTGCTTTAATCTCGGCGTTGAGAAAGGAGAACCAGGGTCTTGGTGTGTTGCTTTAATCTCGGCGTTGAGAAAGGAGAACCGCGTGAAAATTAAAGGTGGATCTCTGTCTCTCATCTCATCTAATGTGGCAATAATAATGGGGTGAGGCCCACCGAAAAAGAAAAAGGGTTGGACAGGAGAGGAGGCACGTGGGTGAGCACCGACAGGAGACAGCACGGATACGTTGCAGGTTAACGCGGTGTAAAAGAGGTTATAACCCCTTCCACCCCCAACCTCACCCTTGTTCTTCTCCTCTCCTTCCTTCCTTGCTGTGATTTTGAGAAAGCAAGAAACAAAATGGCGAGGTCTCAGCTTCTCTCGGTGGCCGCTGTCCTCTTCTTGTTCTCCTCCGCATTAGGCACCCCCACACCCAACTTTGAGGTAGAGGGCCGCGTCTACTGTGACACCTGCCGCGCCGGCTTCGAGACCTCCGCCACCACCTACATCAAAGGCATCCACTATCCACTTCCTCTTTCTTTATCTCTCTCTCGATCATGCAGAGTTTTCATTTTGAGCACAAATAAAATCTATCATGGGTTTGTAAATAAGTTTTCTCATTCTTTTTGGCTCTTCTCTTACTAGTTTGGGCATCTGAATGAATGACTTTAGTTACCAAGGTTGAACAACCGGTTCGCATTGCATTTTATTTTTAATCGGCAAATTTCACAAGAGATTTATTTGTTTTTAAAAGATCTATTGCCAAATAAAAAATAAAAAAAATTGATGCAAGCAGTCGCCGCCTGATCTTACTTCTTTATTCTTCAACGCTGATGTGATGTGGGTGTTTGTTGTCTAAATCACAGCAGATCTAACTTACAATATTTTCTTAAATCTTTATTTGATGTGGGTGTTAGTTGTCTAAATCACAGCAGATCTAGTTTACAATATATTTTCTTAAATCTTTATTTGGAGCCACTCATCCGCCCACCACTACCTCATGATGGTGGTAGTGGTGGTGGTGGTGGTCTTAAATCGTGCAAGTGTACATTCAAAGAAACACAACTCTGATCCCCCATTAAACTGTACATGTTCTATCTATCTATACTCGATTTCTCTCTCGAGGGCGAGGGCGAGGGGGCGTTGGAGTTCAGCGAGTCGTTCCATTCCCTTATGTTTGATGGTGTGGTTGGTGATGACCAGGTTCTACGGTGCGTTTGGAGTGCAAGGACAGAGCAACCCACCAGCTGACCTACAGCATTGAAGGCGTCACCGATGCCACCGGCACCTACAGGCTCCCCGTGTCGGATGACAGGCAGCACGAGATCTGTGAGGTAGTGGTGGTGAGCAGCCCGGAGGCAGGGTGTGGCAAGGCCATGTTGGGCAGGGAACGCGCTCGCGTTCTCCTCACCCACAACAACGGCATCGTCTCCAACACCAGGTACGCCAATGCCCTCGCCTTCCTCAAGGACGAGCCCCTCCCCAGATGCGCCGAGCTCCTCAAGCTCTACAAGGAGAAGGAAGAGTAGACCGACCGCAGTCCCCTAAATCCTCCCTCCTTCCCTATAAACAAAATACCATTAGGAGGATCTCTCTTCCTCCCTTCTCATTTTCATTTCCTTTCCCCATTCCCACATCCACCCACGAGGCAGAAGAACCCCTTTTTTTTTTCTTTTTTTTTGTTTCTTCTTTTATATGATAAATATGTTTCTCTTGATAAAAGAGTTGTTGTTTGACTGATTGGATGATCGCTTTCTACCCCGTTTTGCTTCTGTATTAATATATCTCTCCACTAATCTGGATCTTTTCTTTATTAATATCTCTCCACTAATCTGGATCTTTTCTACTAGAAACATTTTGGTGTTTCTGCCAGACAATGGCAGCGTGTGGATGGATAAAGGTGTGCTAATGGAAAATCAATCATCTGGAAATATGGATGTATAAATTGGAGAGGGACTTGGAGGATCCTAGTCTTCCAATAAGCAAAAACAAGATTTTGAATATTGTTAGCAGTCTTGAGTGCAACCCTAATTTGGTTTCTTCTGAAATGATCATACATAAGAAGATCTCTCTTCGGATTGGGAGTATCCACCAACCAACACTGAGTGGTGGAAGAGTGGTTGACGTGCATATAAACAGATTCTGCATCTCATCTCCACTTGATCCGTTGCAGGTTGATCGATACTCTCTATGGGGCATTTGAATATGGCTCTGAAGTTCTTTGTTTCCATGTGCTTGTAGAGCCCCACCAATCTGCAGCCTCTTTTCCTGATCCGAGGCTGATGATTTGTTCCATTAAGGCCTTCACAATGCAATATGAGATCAGTAACTTGCGATGAATACCCTGGTCAACTTTGTTTCTTTTTTTAGATCAACAATTTAGCCATATGAAATAGGTTAGGGGAATATGAATACATGAATATCACTATATAGAAGTTCTCAAAGCATCCTGACGAGAAGAGAGGGTGTGTTAGTCAATTTGTAGTAAACCAGGAGCATGCCTTTTCTTTTCTTTTTTTGAAATTGTTAACTTTGTATTGAGGGTGTAAAGGAGTACGAAAAATGGCAACCCAACCAGGATGCACTATACAGAACTTGCAGTAAAACCCAATGTCACAATTGAAAGTGGGCTATTAAGAAAAAGCTATACAACATAAATGCGAATTTAGGTACAAAAGGATTAGACTCGACGCAGAAGAAGGACCAGGGTTGTGCTTAGGGATTCCCCTTGTTCCATTCAATGAGGCTCCTTCTCTAGCGAGGTGATATGCTTTCAAATTGGCCTCCCACTAACTGTAACGCAGAAGAAGGACCAGGGTTGTGCTTAGGGATTCCCCTTGTTCCATTCAATGAGGCTCCTTCTCTAGCGAGGTGATATGCTTTCAAATTGGCCTCCCACCAAATGTGTCTATATGAGACTTGTAGGAACCTGCAAATATAATGGATATGGTTAAAAATGTGGAGTAATCTTCACAGGCATGGGGAAGAGCCATATGCCAAGGAGATAACATTCTTGGAATCTCCCTCTACAACCAAAATTGGGCCCTAGACTGGGTTGCCATTGTGGAGTTGGCCTGACCAATTGGTAGGGAGAATGAGAATAGCGTCTAGCCTTCGTGGTCTATAAGGAGCCTCTAATTCCGACACGGCCTTGATTGCCCAAAGAACTACCATCGAAATTGGGTTCTGATTGTCCTAACTCAGCCCTTGGGATGATGGCTGGTCTCAGGTTAAGCAAAGCAAGGCAAAGCAATTTTGGAGAAAGTCAGCAATGAGGCTGAGGCCCTTGGGATTCTGGCAGGTCTCAGGTTACAGCAACGCAAGCCAATTTTGGAGAAAGTCAGCATAGGAGAAGTGTTTGAAAAGATTGTGGTTGGAGGCCCAGAAGAAGATCAAGGATATGATACTTTCGTTCATGTCTGCTAGGGTAGATTTGATTCCTTGAAAAGTTCTATTGTTTCTCTCCTTTTAAATTACCCACATGGCTCTTGCCATTGAAGCTTTCCAAAGAAGTATCCCTGACGTCGGGCGTGGTAGAGTGAGGTGTAGATCTGAGGTCCTGATCGTGAAGTTACCCATGTCCACTCAAATCGTCAATGCAGGGCACTCCACAAGGCGTAAGCTATGTCACAATGGAGAAATAGATGGTCGTCAATTTCTTCCTCTTCCAAACACATGATGCATTTGTTGGGAAAAGGGATGCTCCTCCTTTGAAGTTGGTCGATGGTGATTGCGCTGAGGGCTATGGTAACCCAAGCAAAGACTTGAATTTTAGAAGGGATAAAGGCAAGCCATGCTTTGGAGCATATAACTTGGGCTCTTGCTGGAAGGGGAAGTTGCGCTAGAAGGACCTAGTAGAGAGAGGAAATAGAGTAAAGGCTAGAGGGGTTGGGGGACCAGATAATAATGTTGCTACCAGTGCAGGAATAGGGAGGAGGATGGAGGAGGGCAAATACGGCCAGGAGTTTGGCATCTCTTCATTTGTATGGGATCTCCTGAAATTATGACTGCTTTGGAAGAACTCGTGATCTATAGTTGTTCCGCCACGGTGGCCGAGGGTCCCTTACCAGGAGGTACAATCTAGGGAATAGTTCTTTTGAGGGAGTGTCTCCTACCCCCAATAGTCATATCACAAGAGTCATATCATAAGAGGATTTGGTTCCCTTCCTTGGGGTGAAAATGGATGTTGGCATAAACAATCTCGTAGCTTCATTTGATGGATCTACATAAACCTGAAGGTTGGTTAGGGGTTGGGAATCTAGGAATCCACTGGCTCCTCTTCTTCTACTATCCATTGTTCTGCTGTGTGTGTGACAAATATTGTGTCCAAATCTATTAGCCCATAGTCTTCAAGCTTCCTTCTTATTTGTCGCTTTCGGAGGTTTAAGTTGTAATGAACGTAGACTAGTTTATGAAGCTTCTCCGAAGGGAGTCGATTCTTTCTAGTAGTGTGCAACATTGGAAAGAACTCCAGTTTTGCTCACAGTCAGTAGCATAACATGTCTGGGAGAACACCTTGATTGCTATCCTCTTTAGGTGAGGTGCATCACTACCATATATCTCCTACCATTCAGCAGGATTAAAATGCAAAAAGCATTGTAAGGGAAAGAACAATTCATAAGATTAAATATATGAATGAACAAAAGATTAGTTAGGGGATAACTTGGATCCATCTTAGTTCGAGAATTCCTTGCAAGTCTAGTTCCGAAAGATCCTATAGCATCCCTATACATAGCAAGCTAAAACAAAATATTTCGTTTTAGTGCATTATTCCTCACAAATATAACAACTCAATCAAGTTCTTACCGAAGTATTAACTAATACCTCTTGTATTACTGCTACCTGGTTTCGATGGCTTCTCTCCAACTTGGCAATAATGTATCTGACTCCTTCCATAATCTTGTGGGGTTGTTCAGGTGTCAAATAGAAAAATTTTGGGTTGTAGTAATAACTTAAAAAATATATAGATAGAGAAATGTCTTTTAAAATTTCATAAAAAATAATTTACAATGAAACATTCTAATGATATAAATATATATTTACCTGCATAATGAATTAGATGTCTAAATTTGGTGTTCCACCTTTTTTTTATAATCTCGATCACTTTACTATCAAAACTACACTTCTCCCTAATAGCTGATTTGGCCGTCTCGATACCTTCATAAAGGATGCCCATGGTAGCTTCTTGTGAGCATCGACCATTCTTAACACCGTGACCAAAAGGGCAGTGGCCTCTACGATACTGGAACATCGAAACTAGAACCTCCTATTTAAGACTATGCCGTCCACTTTTAGCTCCGTACTGGACTTTGAGAGGCGGTCATTTAACCACTCTTCACTAGTAAACAATCTCTTATTGCACCTTCAGATTCCCGAATGGAGTCCACAACCAAGTAATCTGTTGCAAAGCGGGTTATGGCAGGCCTAATTATCTCTTTTTTCTTAGACTAATCTCTGAACAGAAATAAAATTTTAGAATAGTTATATATAAATCTTGACACCAACCTCACTTCTTATAGAGTCTCCTTCACAATTTTGATCTCACCAATCTCCTCTAACATAAGATCGATGCTGTGTGCAGCACATGGGGTCCATACTAGATGCTTCCTCTTATCCATCAACTTGCTGCTCGCAGAAACACATGCACGTGTATTGTCCATAATAAACTGGAATACATGCTTATATCCCACCTCCTCCACTATTTGATCATATAGTCGTACGTAGAAGTTTGCATCATTTTTTATCCCTGATACGTCTTTGCTAGACAAAAAAGCTGTACCTTTTGGAGAATAGATCAAGAAGTTTACAAACTCCTTTTTGCTAACTTTATTCAACCAACCATCACTCATGAGAATAATGCCTATTATTGGCCAACTCTGTTTATATTCTTCAATCCACTTTCTAACTTCCTCCACCTCTTCATCCAATATTGGCCCACTGAACTCATATGCCGTTGGGGGTTTTACCCCGGGCCCGGCTCTCTGGATTGCATTGACCATAGGTGGAAAATATGGGTTATTGGCTGCATTAAAGGGGATCCCTTTATCGTAGAATCATTTTCCTATATATCTGCCCAACATGTTTTTCGTATCTTTCACCATGCCTTTGAGGGTCATCTGTTCTAACTTAGGCCTTGAGAGAAATGGGCCTATACAACCATGACCTGCAACACTGACACTCCTAGATAAGCTAGAAACAATTTATTCAACGTCTGATTCATCTTGATACATATTGCCACCAACCCCTCCATACATATTTGAGCTGGGCCCACCATACATGCTTGAGTTAGGCCCGCCATGCATGTCTGAGCTAGGCCCACCATGCATGCCCATGTCATAACCACCAGGCATTCTAAACCCGCGTTTCCTCTGGTATGTTTCATGTAAACTAATTCTTGTGGCCATCCCCAAGTCATTATTATATTGCTCTTCTGGATCATTCCTGCTTGATGACGTATATAAACTAGCTATATCCTCATCCATCCTCTGCTTTGCAATTTTTTTTACCTTTGGTAGCATTGAGAAATGCTGTCATCTGTTTTCTTACATTATTAGGGACACTATTGCACGCAGAAAAATCTCCTTTAACCCCTGCCAAGTGTTACTTGAACCTATGCACCCCACTACTTATTACTCTTTGACAGTAATTACAAATAATTTTGTCTTTTTTGTTGGGATCACGTCTGACCTCATGTTGCCATGTTCTGCAGATCTTGCCATGGTTCAACTTTAAAATGTAAAATGTTAAAAATTAACCTGACAGTTCAACATGAGAAATAATCACCATGTGTAATGATAATATGTAGGGGTAATTCATG